AGAAACTCATGCCCCCTACTGTGGGTGTGCCTGCTCGGCGTCATCCCTTCCGCAATCATGCCCCCGGAAAATCATGCCCCAGGAACCCCCCCCTACACAAGCATGCAATCGGAAAATACCAATCAAGTAGCGCAAGCAAAAAGAAAAAGTGTTTTGCCGCAGTAGCAACTGTCTGGCCGAGCAGCATCGATCTCATTCGGCATCCAAGAAGTTGTCACTGTGTCAGTGACATCTCTGGCAGCCAAATTGCCCGGGGAAGTTGATACACATGAATTTTGGCCTCCTGGATCCAGATTAGCACGGCCCGGTCAACGCACAAACATAAAAAAGGCACATGTTCCTTTCAACACGGCGATGGCACTGTTTCACAAGTTCAAACGCACTCCTCGAATTCTGCAGCGTCTGGAGGGCGGTCGTCATCATCATCATCACCCAAAAACAGCCTGGCGATCTCTATGGCTAGCGCCAAGCAAAACAAAGCCGACATTCATTTGTATGTCTCCACGCTGTGTGATCCACAAAATGGCTTCGGTTTGCTCATGTGTGCTCCATGGTGCGCATGCACGGGACACGCATGTGTGGTTTGACCAATGCAAAGTTCGGCAAGCTGTTTCTATTTTCCTCATGCGAACGTCTCGCCTTCCGCGCCGCCGTCATTTGAAGTCATCTGAAGGTCTGCCCCCAACGGGTCGCAAATGCAGATCATCATGGCTGAGCTGCGCGGAGTCCTGCGTTTCGAGTAGGCGTCTCTCTGTAAAAACTTCAGGAAAGAAACATGGCAAGCGTTGAATTTCGAACCACATGGGACACAAGGAGCCGCGCAACAACCCGTCCTGTCAAGGTAAGGCACAATGATTTCCAGCCGGCAGCTTAGACAGGCTTTGTCACTTGCCATTTCCCGGAGCATTTTTTCGTACTCAGCCAATGTCCTCTTGGGACGGGCTGCCCGTGGTTGCAAATCCGTCTGTGATGCCGCAAGCCAGCCTAGCTGTCTGCTATATAGCCAAAACCTCGCGGCCGTTCGTTCGTGCAATGAAACAGCTTGATTTGCCTGGCAAACGCTTGTGGCGCATCCAACGAAAGAACAATTGTGAAATGTGTCTTGCAAACACGCGCAAATTTTGCTAAACATCTGCTCATTGTTCCAACAAATTGGCGGACAAAACTACCAAAACACATGTGAAAAAACATAAAAATACGTTTTTAGCTAAAAATACACAAATTTACTACACAACATTTTTTCTACACACCCAAATTACTACACACAATTTACTACACACAATTTACTACACGAAAAGTACTACACAGCAAAAAATGTAATTTTGGCAAAATTACTACACACAAATGTGTTGTAAAAATGCACAAATTACTACACAACTGCCAAAACATACTACACACAAATTACTACACAAAATTACTACACAAAAAATACTACACAACAATTACTACACAAAAATGATGTAAATTGTTTTGTGTAGTAAAAGTACTATACTTTGATCCTTTAGGTACTTTCCCTGCGCATGCCTCTATGCACTTCACCCTGTACTTGCCCAACGCATGCCTCTGCGCATTTCACGGTCTACTCCGTGCGTGCCGCTACGCATGTGAGTGCGCGCGTGTATGCACTTCACTTTGCGCGCGCCCTACGTATGCCTCTACGCATTTCACTGTCTACTTGCCCTGCGCATGCCGCTATGAATTTCACTGCCTACTTTCCCTGCGCATGCCTCCAGGCACTTCACTCTGTACTTGCCCCACGCATGCTTCTATGCATTTCATTGTCTACTTTTCCTGCGCATGCCTCCATGCATTTCATTGTCTAGTCTGCACATGCCTCTATGCGCTTCACTCTGTACTTGCCCGACGCATGCCTGTATGCGTTGCACTGTGCACTCTCCCTACGCATGCCTCTTTGCATGTCACTGTCTACTTTCCCTGCGCATGCGCCTATGCATTTGATTGTCTACTTCTCGTGTGACACAACTCACTCTGTACTTGCCCTACGCATGCTTACTGTGCACTTTTTCTGTGCATGCCTCTATGCATTTCACTGACTACTCAGCCGGTTCTGGGAGCTGCGGGGATGTACTCCGTGCGCTACTTCTGTACTTAAAAGTCGCCGTTGCAGCCTAACCCTTTCAGACTCCCGCGCCCACACCGCCAACATTCACACGGGACCACAGCGGTATCTGTGAGCATCCCTCTGTACTTTCCCTACGCGTGCCTCTTTACATTTCACTGCGTACTTTCTCTATGTGCGCCTCTATGTATTTCACTTCTGCTTTCCCTGCGCACTTCACTGTCTACTTGCCCTACGCAGTTCATCTGCGCAGAACGGAACAATCCTTTGCGATGCTTTCGGGAAAGAACCGCCAGGGAGGAAGGCGCGGGAGAAACAGAGCGCCCGCCAGGCAGGCGCCTAGACAACAAGGCCAGGAAAGAATGTGCTCAGGCACGCCGCCAAGCAGCAGCAACAACAGCAGCAGCGACAAAGGCAGGGCCGGCAACAGCAGCGGCAGCAGCAGAAGCAGCGGCAGCGACAACCGCCGCAAGGCGAACAAAAAGGAGCAGAGGCCCAAGGTACACGGCAAGGAAGGAGAAACGGGTGTGTGGGTTGGTTTGCCTCTGGCGCACCAGTGATCACACGCAACCAAATTGTCCGGTAACACCCTGATCCTACCGGAAGCGCCCGGCCCCACACGCAGCTCGTAGAAAACAATGGGTAAGACACAATAATGACCATGAGGCTGATGGGTTGCGATGATAACTATGACCGTAGCGTCCTTTGCATCACTAACGAACCAAGGGCCTGGAACGCCAAATTCGAAACGTAAATAGACATATGCGAGATGCTGATGACTGTGGTGATAACCATCATCGTAGCATCTTCTGCATTACCAACGGTCCCTATCGCTGCGTTTGAATCGGCGTATAACAATAGGTAAGACAGGATGATGACCATATACTGATGATGATAAGGGTGGAGATTGTGATGATAACTATCTTCGCAGTACCCTTTGCGTTACGAATGGTCTCTAAAGCCACTGTTGGTTCGCATACAGTATTACGCTGCTGATGTGTGGCGACGGCTATCATCGTAGCATCCTGTGCATCGCCAAACAAACACTGTAGCATCGTCTGCATTGCCAACGGTCTCTAACGCCACATTCGCAACAGATGTAACATTAGGGTAGACATGATTATGATGCGTCGCCAAATGACTGTGATGGTGACTATCATCGTAGCATCCTTTGCATTACCAATCGCCACATTTGAAACGTATATACTAATAAGTAAGAGATGATGACGACCAGGGTGCTGGTCGTGATAAGGAGGAGGGTTGTGATGATAGCAATCATCGCAGCGTCCTTTGCACCACAAATGACTGTGATGATAACCATCATCGCAGCGTCTCCTGCATTATCAGTGGTCTCTAACGCCACATTTAACACGTAAATACTCATAGGTAAGACATCATGATGACCATGATGCTGAAGGTGATAGGGGTGAAAATTGTGATGATAACTGTCACCGCAGCATCCTTTGCGCTACCAATGACTGTAATGAAAACTATCATAGTAGCATCCTTTGCTTTACCAATGGTCTCTAACGCCACGTTTGAAGCGACTCATGACGATGACCATGATGCTGACGGTGACAGGGATGGAGATTGCGAGGGCATCTATCGTCGTAACCTCGTTTGCGTCACTAAAGACTGTGATGATAAATATCTTCAGTAAGAGATGATGACCGCCATGATGCCCAGGATGACAGGAGCGAGGATTGTTATGGTAAGTAGCAGTAGCATCCTTTGCATCGGTAATGACTGATGGTAGCTCTCAGCGTAGCATCCCCAGGGAAGAATACTGTGATGTCGGAGCACCCTCTGCTCACTAACGACATCCGTTGCATTTACTAATGACTGTGATGACGGCTATCATCGCAGCACCCCCTGCCTTGCCAACACGATTATCGTAGCACCCTTTGCATCACTACTGCTTGTGACGATAACTATCATTGAAGCATCCTCTGCATTCCCTGTGGTCTCTCACGCCGCGTTTGAAAGGTGTACAAGAACAAGCGAGAGATGCTTACGACCATGATGCTGATGATGATAAGGACGGGGGTTGCAAGGACAACTTTCATCGTAGCATCTGTTGCGTCGCGAATAATTGCGATGACCGCTATCATAGTATCACCTTCTGCCTTGCCAAGTCCCTAACGCCACATTTGAAACGTATCTAATAGTAAGTAAGAGATGATGATGACCATGATGCTGATGATGACAAGGATGAAGATTGTGATAATAACTATCATCGTAGCGTCCCCTGCATCACCAATGACACGATAGCTATCGTCGTAGCGTTGCGTGCGTTACCAATGGTCCCTAACGCCATGTTCCAAACGTATATGCGAGGTAAGACATGGTGATGACCATGGTGCTGATAGTGTTGAAGATGTGATGATAGCTATCATCGTAGGATGGTAGCCCTCATCGTATCGGAAATGTATATCATACTAAGTAAGATATGATGACGAGCATGATGCTGATCGTGATAAGGATGATGATTGTGATGATAACTATCATCGTAGCAACCTTTGCATCACTAATGACTGTGATGATAGCTATCATTGTAAGCCCGCAAGGGCCGAAATACAACAAAAAACATGCGTGCCGAAAATCGATTTTGGGAACGTGTTTATGCGCCCGGGTTTCTATTGCCCCCTGGTTTTTGGCAAGCGTCGCCCCAAACGGTTGGGATCTCTTCAAATCCCGACATGCGCTTTCTAATGTCATTTATCAAATTGATGCTGCTAGACGAGATGAGTGTCATGAGATGATTAGCATGAGAAAGAGATGCACATAATGATGTCACCGCCCTTCCCGTGCGCCTTGCTGGCAACAAGCGGTTGGCGGATCCCCTGCCAAATTTCATTCTTAGACACCCAACATTTTCCATGTGTCTGGGCCCCTTGCAGTAGACTCCATAGACATGGAGGCTCAGTCGCCAGAACCAGAAGCACCAACTCCGATCCCGCAGCCCGTGCAGCCAGTCTTGTGGGGCACCAGCATGAAGGCGACGGGATGTGAGCGAGCTGACGCGAAGCTGATTTCTTCCGAACGAAGAAACGCAATCAATACTTGGGCAGATGAAGGAAATGGACGGTCCCAACCTGAAACAGGTGCGGCCGCCCTTATGGTGATTGACATGGTCTTGGGGAAGCCATGTTGGTATTTCTCTGAAGGAGGATCCAAACGGCACTCGGACCGACCGCCGAATTGATCGCTCGGAGGGTGCAAGGACAGGTTTGCAAATTGGCACCTGAATCAAGTGGCTCAATTTGATTCAACCAAGACTTGAGTGCAGGTGACATCGCTGTCAAATAGTGCCGGGGATCGGGCAAACATAGCAAGTTGACAGCTTTTAACTGGGATTTGTAGATGCATTCATCCTAAAATGGCTGAGACCATCCCAAGAAGCCTAACATTTGAAAGCACGGAGCGCTGCCAGACAGATTGAGTTGGAAACAAATACCTCTGGCGCAAGACACTTCCATTTTGAAGTGTCCATTCTCACAGCATGAGGAGTGTTTGGCCAAGAATTGCAGTGCCTACGCTTCTCAACATTCTACCCTAATGTACCCGAAAGTCTTGAGGGCTCTTGGGTTTGTGTAGCCTGGAGGCTTTAGTGAAGAACGCGCGTGCAGAGGGCTTGATGCTGACCAATGTGCCAAAGCCGGCGATTGGTCCCAATGACGTCCTCATAGAAGTCTCAAAGATCCTAGGCGGGTCGTCCTCTTTTGCAAGGGCCGAATGCTGAGGGATCATGCTTTGGAATGTTGGTCCTGTCTTTGCCTTCGTGCGCAGAAAGGGCTCGGGGCAGCCGAGGACTGCAATTTGTGGAACAGATGTACACATTTACGACTGGAATGACTGGGCAAAGCGAACCATCCCTACACCAATGGTGGTGGGCCATGAGTACTGCGGAGTGATCAAAGAAATGGGCTCCCACCTCAGTCTTTGGATTTGACTCAGCTCACATCGCCGTTGCCCAGGCCCTTTGATTCTTGAGGCTGGGTGTGGTTTTTCAACCCCGTCAAAAGGGACTAGAAATCAGGGCTGGAGCAGCGATCGGCTGCGCCAAGTGAGCTTTGACGCGAGGAAAGCCCGCCGGCGACCCGTACAGATCAAAACTCTCGGATTATCAAAATGAAAAACAGAAGGAGTCGGATCAATCAAAGGACTTTTGAGGCGGCCGTGGCTTTTGAGTTTTGGAAGCCTTTAAATTGTCGGTGGCTCCATGTCACCACAGTGTGCTTTTGAGTTCTTGGGATTTGGTCCGTTTAACTCGATTTGATCTACTTTAAACCCTTCAGATCAACTCAGGCTCTGAGGTAAAGGGCCTGAAGATTGGCGCCCGCGTGACCGGGGAGGCATGGATTTGGGCCCCAAACAACGGAAACCCGTCGGTTTCAGTTGACACTTTGAAAGACCAATTACAAGGGCTCACAGGTCGTAGCACGGACAGGTGATTGCACCATGGAGGTGTGTTTTCTGTTGGGTAGCCTTTATGCTTGATGATCAGTGCTACTACTGTTACAAATGTTGATCAAATTTAACGCACTATTGCGCTCTATTGCCTCCCTAGGGCCACATCACGTGTGGCTTCTGCCGGAACTGCCGGGCGGGGCGTCGCCACCTTTGTCGGGAGACGGTGGGGGTCGGGGTGAACCGCCCCGGCGCCTTCGCGGAATACCTCTGCCTCCCAGCCATCAATGTCTTCCAGCTAAGCCAAGGTGTGTCTGACGAGGCAGGTCGAACATGTCTCTTTTCGGATGTTGCGCGCCTTGGAATAGGGAGTCAGAAGCGAAAGGGCTCACCAGTTTGCCAGCCCGGTGTTCTGACCTGCCTCCGGTCTAGGGCTGGCGCCCCTTCTGGAAGGAGTTGCCTTGACTTGAGGCATTCCTGACACTGTTACAACTTGAGGGACCCTTCCCAAAGCAGAAGAACGTGGGTTCTCCTTTTGTTTTTCCTGTTACCCCCCAAAAAAAAAGTATCCTCGCAGCGTAGGTGAATTGCCAACACGTTGCCACGATTGATCCCGATCCCAAGTCGTTTTAATGAGACGACCCCCGGCGTGGGCAATGAGTATGGATGGCTTGGGACTTGTGTTGAGGGCGGTGTTGCGTGTTGCTGCGTGTCTTGGTTGTGCAAATGGGCTTGCGAGGGTAGTTTGCTTCAGGCATCGTGGACACCACCAAGGAAGTTACTCGGTGTTGTTAATTCTCTGGAATTGATGAATCTTCCATGAAATCTTTGCTGTGTAAGCCTTGTGCCAACAGGGCGCCCGGCAACTTGTTCGCCTCGCTTTTTTTCTTTTTTTGGTGTGTGTGTGTGTGTTTGTGCTGGCTGGCTGGCTGGCTGGCTGGCTGGCTGGCTGGCTGGCTGCTTGGTTGGTTGGTTGGTTGGTTGGTTGGCTGGCTGGCTGGCTGGCTGGCTGGTTGGTTGGTTGGTTGGTTGGTTGTTGTGTTGGTTGGTTTGGCCGTTGGTTGGTTGGATAGCTAGTTGGTTCTTGTGTGTGCCTGCCTGTCTGTCGGTCGGTTGGTTGGTCGGTCGTCGGGTTGTCTATTTGCCAGTTGTTCTTTTAGTTGTTGTTGGCTTTTCCGACAGCCATACTGCCCAGGGCAATGCGCGATCTTTTGCACAATCTGTCCAACGGAATGTGCTTGTGCAATCGGAAATCGGAACCTCCCACGGTTGGTATCTCTTTGTTTTGCAATACGTAGCTGTTTGGCCCCCTTCAGCCTGCAAACAACATCAATTTTTGGCCAGACACTTCCATCCACGGGCCACGGATGGTTCGGAATTCCGAGGAGTGCACCCTTTCGGGTCACGAGCTTCATGTATCAAAAGGAGACGTCGCCCGTTTCGGCAGGTCGCGAGCTTCATGGATGCTCTGGGCAACGCCACCCATACGGCGCTGGGCTTTGACCTGGTGGGCGAGGAGAGCAAAAGCAAACCGCATCTCGTTTAGGTTAGACACATCGTCTATAGAGCTTTCGTTTGGGCAAACTGAGTTTCCGTTTGATGATGTGTACCCAGTGAAATAGGAATCCGAGTCAACACGTTTATGTTTGTAGGCCTTCCCGATGCCAGGGGTTTCCTGCTTCAAACATGTGTTGTTTTGCGGAGGACCCCCCCTAGCCCCCCCCAACCCCCCCCCTCCCGGGGCGGGATTGGGTGGTTGTGTGTCGGGTTAGTTTAGGGTCGGTTAAGGGTTGGTTTGCAGCGGGTTCAGGCTGGGTGTAGGGTGTTTGGGTTGGTTTAGGGTTGGTTTAGGATTGATTTGGGGTTGGTTTAGGGGGTTAAGGGTTTGGGGTATAGGTGTAGGATTGGTCCAGGTTGGTTGTGGGTTGAGTTGTCCTCGGGATGCAATTGTGCGAGTTCAGGGGTTCGAGGATTTTGCACCCTCGCCCCCCCATAACGGCACGTGACCTACAAACACAAACACAGAAAGGCAGAGGGGGAGAGAGGGAGAGAGAGAGAGAGAGAATGAGAGAGAGAAAGAAAGAGAAAGAGCGAGCGAGAGAGACTCAAATGAGAAGCCCTTTGCGTTCCAAATATTCGAATCATTGCATATACTCCCACGAGGGCGAGTGACTGTTGGGGCATTGCAACTAAGTCTCTACTTCTGCACTTTTTCGAGAATGGATGGGAGCGCTCTTGGGATTGTCAGGTTCATTGATTTTTTGCGCAATTGTTCTAATTGTTCTTGTCACCAAGCGGCGGGAGCCCTTTGGCCAATTCCAGATCTATATTTCGCTCTCAATATTACACCTTCTGGGGCGTTCAAATCTAGCTCTCAGACGCCGGGTGCCTTGAGGAAGGACAGATTGTCATTCTTGTTAAGTACTTGGCTTTTCCTAAAGGGATGGGTGTCTTTTGGAGAAACCCAGGCTCATTGTTCTTCTAAGTGTAGTATTTCTACAGACTTCTTTTGGTGATGTCCACATTGCCCAGTTCTGATTTTTCTGGTTGATCTCTTCTTATCCTAGTCATTCTAATCAAGTAGACAAAGTAGAACAACATGCCCTTTCACTAGTTCTTCTGAAAAGAGAGGGACGCCTTTTGGGAAGTTCCAGATGCACAGTTCTTCTAAATATTCCCAAGGGACGGGCACGGCTTGAGGAAATCCAGACTCAGCGTGTTTTCGCTTATTCTACTTCTTTGATGCTTCCCAGTATGCTACTTGCTGCAAAAGGGATGGGGCGCCTTTTATGGAAATCAAGATTCATATTTGCCAATATGTGCTTGCAATAGTTATTCGAACCATTCCCGAAAGGGTGGGTGCCCTCTGGGAAATTGCAGAGGTGGTTAAATCTGTAAAAGTATGGGGGTAGGCCGGATAGCTTAGAATAATGAAAAGAAGTTGAAGACACGCAGTCTGATTTGTTTTTTTCGCAGGTTTAATTTAAACTTGCACAATTTGAAACATCGCCTTACGCTTTTCATGTATTCCAATCGTTTCGCTTGTTGTTCCCAAAGGGGCAGGTGCCCCTGATCAGGAAGTCATAATTAACAGGGTCGAATTGTCCTAGGTGCTAAAACCATTCTAACATATCAGACACATCAAACACATCGATTGAACAACACCCTTTGTTTTTCTACTCGTGCGAGCTATTTAGTTTGTTATTATAGGAATACACGCCCACCATTTTGTTTGCTAGTTCCGGTAACTATTCAAGTTCACCTAATTATTCTTACTTTTCCCAGAGAGGAGGGATGCCGTTTAGGAACTCCAGATTTATTTGTCCAATTGTGCTAATCACGTATTCCCCAAGGAGCAGGGGCCGGCGCCTTTTGCGATTCATGAACTTCGAATTAACTACTCGTTCTGATTGATTAGAATAACTCGAAGAGGGAGAGAAAGGACAGTGCTATGTTTTGTAACCCACAGGACGGGTCCTTCTCCGAAACTCCAGATTAATGGGAATTCCAGATTCGTGTTGCCCCAATTATTCTAACTCGCTAGGTATTTTCATTATTCCTAAGGGCCGGGTGCCTTTTGAGGAATTCAAGGTTCATGTGTGCTAACTATTCTACTTATCTTCATTTCTGTAACTGTTCTAGTTGTTATAGTTGTTCCTATAGGGACGAGTGCCTTCTGCAGAACGGCAGGTTCATTTTTGCGCTATTTGTTCTAACTGTTCCATTTTTCCTCCCGCAAGGGTTGTGGCGGGTGCCTTCTGGGGACCAACTGTTCAAACTCTTTGAATTACTCCCAAAGGGACAGGCGCTTCTTGGGAAGTTCAAGAGTACTATCTTTCGCTAGCCATTCTACTTTTCATAACGACTCTCCTTACTCTAATTCATTCCTGCAGGGCGGGGGTGCCTTTTGGAGAATTCAAACTCGTGTTTGCGCTAGGCATAAAGGGATGGGCTCTTGGAGCGAATCCCATATTTTTTCCGGCTCTTTGTTTCTCTTTTGAATAGTTCCCAAACGAACAACTCCGCTTTGGTGAGTCCGAAGTAATTGCCCTATTTTTTAAGTTGCTCCCAAAGAGGCCGGTGCCGTTTGGTGAATTAAAATGTTTATCACATTTGCTATTTGTTCTAATCATCCTACTGATTGTAACTGTTGCAACTGTTTTCATTGGTCTATTCTAGTTGGTCCCAAAGGTGCGGACGTCTTTAAGGAATTGAAGATTGTCTTGCAAGTTAATCGAATTTCCATAAATGCTTGACATTGTACTGATGCCGGGGGGGGGGGGGGCAGGTGGAGAACTCCAGGTTCATGCTTGTTCTAATTGTTCTACTGCTACGGGTGGAATTCCAGATCAATGGGTTATTCCAATTGAACAGCTCCTAATTGTTGTTACTACCGCTCAGTCTGATTTTTTCCTGATCGTACCTACTTCCAGAGGGCCATGTGCCTTTGGCGGAACAGCAAAGCCATGTTTGGGTCAATTGTTTTATTAATTGCTCTAAGCAGTACAAATATTCCCACGGGGACGGGGTTCCTTTTGAGGAAATCAGTTTTCCATGTTTGCATAGTTCTGCTCACCAGAATTATTCTAGTTACTCATCTTTTTCCGATAGGGTCTTGCAGATTCATTTGTTCTCAAATTTTGCATGTCTCCGCTTAATTGAACTAACTAGAACAAGTTGCCTTTTGGGGATTTCCGGATTCTTGCCGTTGCTCTAGCTATCTTAACTCTTCTAGTTACGCTAACGTTTCACAAAGGCATGGGTGCCTTCTGGGGAGTTCCAGATCCACGTGTCTTCCAATTGGTCTAAGTACTGTAACTACTCTAGCAATTCGAGTTCGTCGCCATGGGACAGGGCCCCCTGCGGGGAAGTCAAGATTGAGTGTTTTCCGATAACTGTTGTAAGGTAATCTACTGATTCCAAGAAGGACGGGTGCCTTTTGGGAATTCCAGGTTCATTTTTCCTTTTTCCCTACTTGTAGTTGTTCTAATCGTTCGAATTACCTGCTTTTAGTTCCCACGTGCATGTTACGCCTGCTAACTTGGAAGCCATCAATATGAAAGGGTGTACCCTTGACACCAACGCCAAACAACATATGTTTGTCGTATTGGTGCTAGGAGAATTAGGCCACTAGCCCTACTAGTTTGTATGCATTTTCTTAGTGAGCCTGTCTATTTTGATTATGTCCTCTCAATAAATTTCAGATTCCTTTTCCTAATTAGCTGAACTGTTCTAAATATTCAATTTACTTCCCTTTGGGTGGAACTGCTGGTTCACTTTTCCAAATTGTTCTAGTTCTTTTAATTAATCACAATATGAATTTGCAACAATTAGACGAATTGGGAAAACAGTGCTATTTTTCTCAATCACGCTAACTTTTTACCTTTTGGTTGGAATCCCGGATTCATTCTCCCAAATATTATATCTACCGTTTTTATTCAATTTATTTCCATTTCGCGTGAACTTCCAGATTCATTTCTCTACTCAGTTCAATTAAACATTGTTCCTAAGTATTCTAATATTTCATTTTTTCGAGCTAATCTGAAAAGAATAATTAAAACATGAGTAAAACAGTCTGTATTTCTTCTCATTTATTCAACTGATTCTCCGGTGGGTAGTAAGATGTGTTTTGAAAAAGCTAAACTTTCCCACTTATTCTAATTTTCTGATTGTTTCCATTTGGGTGGAACTCCAGACGCATTGTCCAAATATTCTAATAATTCTAGTGAACTAGAACAGTTAGACGAAAGAGGAAACCAATGAGGCTATATTTTCTTAATTGTTCTACTTATTTCAATTATTTCCATTGGTGGGAACTCCAGACCTATAATCTTCCTAATTATCCTAAGTGTCCTGATTATCCTAATTCATTCGAAATAGAAAATAGACAAAATATTGCTAATTTTCAGTTTATCCTAACTAATTTAATTATTTCCCTTTGGGTGTAATTTCAGGTTCATGTTTTTTGCTTTTTTTTAATAATTACTTTAAGTATTCTGATTAATTAGAATAACTAGAGCAGATAGAATAACCAGAAACTTGAGCTCATTTATCTCATTGTTATCTCATTATTCTAATTATTCCTTTGGGTGGGAATTTCCAACTCATATTGGTTCGAATTGTTCTATTTGTTTTGATTTTTCTTTCTAACCCCCACATCTGTGTGTGGGATTCTTATTTTTACCGCTCGTCGTCCGGCCGCGTGTTGCTGTTTCTTCTTCTCCTCCTCCTCTTCCTCCCGTCTCCTTCCGCCCTCACTCACTCTCTCACTCACTCACTCACTCACTCACTCACTCACTCACTCACTCACTCACTCACTCACTCACTCACTCACTCACTCACTCACTCACTCACTCACTCACTCACTCACAATCTCACTCACAATCTCACTCACTCACTCACTCACTTACTCACTCACTCACTTACTCACTCAACTCACTCGCCTCCACTCAGTCACTCACCTCTCAGCTCAACTCAACTCAGCTCCACTCCACTCCACTCCACTCCACTCACTCA